CAAAGTGATTTGAGCCCGGGAAGAAAGGAAGGGTGGAGGAAAGGTGTTGTAAAATGCGGTTGTTGTGTCTACTTGGATGGTTTGCAACAAATTAAATTGATTTTTCTTCCCCAAGTTTGAGTCTGTTTTGCCCGTGACCATAACTGGTGAGTGAGCCATCCCTGTCCTTCATTCCTCATCCCATGTCCCCCTTGTTGTGACTCCCATCCCATCCCACTGGGTTGCAGGAGTGAATGCAGGACCGCATGGTCCCACTGTGGGTCAAACCACCACACAGCTTCCTACACTTAATGCTTTCAAATGTTAATCAGTTGGCCTAGTCATCAGATAAAAGTTAGATAAAACCCACTATGAGTTAAATTAATAAAAGCTATATGGCCTGCAAACCATATATGACTTGTGCTTTTTATTAAACCTTTCCAATACTATCTTTTGGTGTAAAAAAGAAATTTGAAACAAATGGCCATTGTGGCATGCCTGGATTATGAGTACATTTTCATTCTTACTATTTATTTGCACATTCAAGAAAGTTGAAATCCTTTTTTCCCCTCAAAAAACAGTAAATGAACACATTTCACTCAAATCTTACTGTTCCATGTTTGGCAATTACTCATCTTTCCTAAAAAACAGTAAATGAACACATTTCTCTTCACTCAAATCTTTCTGTTCCATGTTTGGCAATTACTCATCTTTCCTTTCCTTCCACCCACTGCCCCACTTCAGTTTGCAGAAAATGAGGGAAAAAAAAAACAACAAACAAACCACAAAACAAACCAGATCTCAGAGATGACAGTTTTTTGGTGTTACTTTCATTTTTTTCAGGGCCTCAAATTCCATCCTTGAAAACTGTAAGACTACATAACACAGAACTGGTGGGTAAGACTGCCTTTCTGATTTAGAAACACGTCACAAGTGTGTCATTCCCAGGAATGAAGAAAATCCCAGACTTGAATCCAAACTACCATTTTAGAAAATTCTTACCTGGAAGACCTGACTTGTCTGGTAGTATCACTTCAGCACATTCCTCCTTCTCATCACAGGGATCCTCTTCATCAGACAGTACTAAGAAAGCCTCTTTTGGCAGACTTTCATTGCTTTCCTGCTTGGATGGTGAACCCAAACAGTTGTCCATTTTCTCTTCTAAATCTGGGACTGTGTCATCCACTGGAAGCAGAGAACTCTTAGAAAAACAGCTCAATTCATCCTCAGCAGGGGCTAGTTTTTCCAAAATTGGAATAATTTCATCTGTTTCCATAGAGTCAGTATTGTCCAAGATACTTTCACTTGGCTCATCTATTGTCTTCTGAACAGCGGTTTCTGAAAGACCTCGAGTGCCATCTTGATTGTCCTTTGGTTCCTGGTCAGCTTCCATACTGCTAGAGATGGCCTCTTCTCCAACAGTATCGTCAAAAGTTACTTTTTCAGTCCTCTTTTCCTCACCAGATGAATTGGAATTAACAGTTAAGTCATTTTTCTCTTCCTTCTCTTCAGAAGAGTCACTAACAACACAGACTGATTTACTTTCACCTTCCGATGGCACGTCACTCTCTCTTTGGTCCAAATGATCTTTTGTATTATTTTCCTCATGGAAGTTATCTTTACGGCTACTAAGCGCTCCATTTTCAGCCTGACAGGCTGAAGCAGTATCAGTATCTTTATCTTGCTCAGCAGTAACATTCTCTGGAGACAGCGTTAGAGGTTTGGGTTCTATATCATTGACTATGTTCCCTGCCCTACTTTCAGGGCTTTTGGCTTCACTAGTTTTATCAGAAGCTGTTCTCCCTTCTTCAGAGTTAACACACAAGTCCACTAGGCCATTAACTTCCCTCTTGTCCTCCATACAGTCTGTACTGCTTAAAGGGGAATTTAAATCAGAATCTCCATTTTCATGCTTTCCATTTAACAGTTTAACTTCAGTTGTCTTCAACAGCTCCTCTTTAACCTTATAGACAGCTTCAAGTTGTTGTCGATCACTTACTCTCATTGTTTTTCGTGCTTTAAATACTTTTTTCTGAGGTTCCTCTGTGTTATCCATCTTGACCCTTAAAAAAAAGTTCAGAAAGAACTGTGAAGGTAACAACTTATGATCATCATATTACAGTGTTCCTAAGAAAGACTGTAGCATTTAGCACATTTTTAAAGCAAACTGGTTTAACTCCATCTACAAAAACAAAGAAATGCCTGACAACACACTTAAATTGTTTGTCCTCAGAAACGCTGCACAAACACGTATATGTAAAGATCACTGAGATCTCAGTGATCACTTTACATCTCAATGACTGCTACATTATGTAGCAATGTTCTGACTGCACATTTTAGACCAGTCGTTGTATTATTATAGCTAGAAACACATACTGTGCTAATATAAGAGCCAGCGGCCTCTCTTCTTGTAAAAAAGTAAGAGATATTCTTGGACCACCAGTTTACATTTATTTTCTTTCTACAACTATGTAATTTCATAAATTTCAAAGAGAATTAAGAACTGGGGTAAATGACAAGATTTTTATACCAAGTAAGTTTTAAGGAAACTTCAATATATTGAAAGAATTTCTGAACATGTCATTAAGACACTTTTTTGTTCTGTATAGATAAAATAGACCTTCACCCTCCATATTTATACAATAGTTAACTGAACTTGGGTTTTTAGAGCACTTTGATTCAATTTGCAATAATATTTTACTAAGACCATTTGTGCTCTTAAAAACTAGTTTTTCTAGCTCCTTTTAGAAAAAGTTTATTTTTCAAAGAAAACTGATGGTTTTGCCCTCCATAGAATTTTATTAATTCCATCCACCCATGCAAATATTAAGAAAAAAAAGAGAACATTAATATATAAAAAAATTAATAAAAATGTTTTAAAATCTACTTTATCAAATCAATACATGGAGTTAAATCCAGCATTACCTAGGCAGTTGAAATAATTTTGCTGAAATACAACAAAATCTTATTTGTTTCTATTAAAGCAAGCAAACAAACAAAATCTATAGAAATTTTTAAACTATATTTTTTTCCCTGTGGTCTTGCATTAGGACCCAGTTTTAAAGGTTTAGATACAATAATATTGTTCAGAAGCAGAAAGTCATTAAGGGACTTGTTATATCCTAAATGAAACTCAGCAACTAAGATTTTCAACCAGCTGATGTTAACCAGTTTCGCTCTACTGAAGCTACTACACCATCATAAATTTCTCAAAACATGCAAGAATTTACTTTTGTAACAGTAGTTAAAAGATATTACAGCAAATAGAAAAAGAAAATAAATCTGGCAGTCATCTCTATATGAACTTTATTTTTTCCACAAGCATCAGATAAACAAACGTGTATACCATTCATACAGCTGAATTATTACACAAAGGTTGCATTTTCAATGTTTACACGACAGTTTATTTTGTATCTTCCCCCAATCCACTTTCATTTACAGAGCTGAGAAGTTCATTAAAAAATCTGCATTTTGTCTTTTCAGGTGGGGTATAATTTTTTTTTTAATTTTTTGATTAAAGAAAGCAGGACTATCACCAACACTATCTCAGATTAGCAACGGTTTTGTGCAACCAAGTCCTAACATTTACAAAACGGAGATTCCACAATCTCTAAGTAACAGTTCGCCTCTACACTCTTTGTCACCAATCTTGCCTACAAGTTTTTTTTAGGCAGCCACAACATTGCACTTTTGCTTTCTCTTCAGAGGATTAAAGTTGTCGAGCTCCCTCAGCATCTCATCGTAGGTCACGTACTTCAGGCCCCTATCATTTTGGTAGTCCTCTGCTGGATTCTTCCTAGTTTACTTGGAACAGTTTGTTTACGAAGGAAAGTATTTAGCACCTATGCATTGCCCAGACAGAATATTCTACAGTAAGATATGAATATATATTCTAAGGTACAATATAAATTCAACTATCAAGGCAAACTCTAAACTTTACAACCATGATATACTGTACTTTACAATTACAAGGCTTCTTTTACACTTAGTTAACATGACCTAATAAAAATAACAGCAAAATAGAAAGCAATATGATAAAACAAATAAGATTTTTTCCCTGTTTTGCATTTCCTATTAACGTAACATCGATATTGCCTTCCACTTTATTTCAGTTCTTTTCTGCACGACAATCTAGCGTCCTATTTGAGTCACTGGTGGTGCTTAAACGACACTTCAGTTCACTCCTCAGGAGCAAATGAACAAATCTTCACAAAAGGTTGTATCAGCTCTATTTACAGACTCAATAATACCATTAAGACATGATTTTTTGCCAGTTTGAACTAGATTTTGTGAACAGGATTGTCTATTACTGCACTGCCACTAGTGGGAGCATAATACACCTACAGAAACATTGATCTGAAACATCACTCATTTTTAGAAAACGTTCTCATCACACAACTATTTCCAGAACCCCAGGTGACCTGTTAATGTCCTTCCAGAGCTGTCTACATGCTACATACAATATCTTCATATTCTTCCAGAAGAGAGTATTTTTAACACTAATTCTAGTCCTGAAGTTAGGAGAAGCATATAAAAAACCTCTAGTATTTCAGAAGTGCATAAGCAGTTTTTGAAAACACATCCCTTCCTTCTTCCCAAGAACTGGAAAGCATGTTTTTTCATGTCACTATAAAAGCATGTATCAGGCTGTCACATAAGAGTAATGATCATCACATCTACATTCCATGCATATAATCCCCTACAACCAACATGCATGCTCTTATAGATGTGTATCTTATAGAGCCATTTTGGAAAAAAACAGGAAATTCCAGGCTTGGCTGATCTTAAACAATTTCACGAGCTCCTAATAGGTGAACAGCTAGTGAGAGTCTTCCGTTAATGTTTTGGTAGTACAAGGATATAGAGCCACTGTATCGAAATTAAGTAGTTTGATCTCCTGGACTACAATGCTTTCTTTTATAAATATTACCCAGAATTTAAAAGTTCTTATATTACAAAATTCACAATCCTATTTTTCCTATGACCAAAAGATACACTGAGAGATTAATAAAATATTCACAGACAACTTCAAATCAAATGTATGAGTGCATCAAGTAATCATAAAATATAACTTAAAACAAATTAGTATTTTCTGCTCTAGCTTCCTTAATCATCTAAGCAGTCTTTCATTCATACTTTTAACATAAAATAAAATACAGTAAATACAGAAAAAAATTAAGGTCACTTCGTTTTTAAATTTGCCAAGAATAGTAGTCCTAGGAAAATCAAACATCAGAATACCTTTATATTGATGCAGCCTTACTTTTTTCTTTAAAAAACCCCCCAAAACAAACAAACAAAAAATATGAATTAATAAGCTTGAATTTCTAATCTATTTCAAAATTATGTTTACTTCCTATTTTAGGATATTATTAAAAATCTAGTTTAAAAACAAAGCTGTAATACAGTTCTACAGTGAACCTGTACGAAGAAAAGGCTTCTCATAAAATTCCATTGTTAGATGGTTATTTGAGTAACTCATGCGTATTTTCAGTTCAATCCCACAATCTTTTGAATATCCCAATTCAATATCCAATATTGAATGTCCAATAAAAGCTACCATAAGTGACGAAATTATAAGCATAGATGAGATTAAAAGATGAACACTAAACGCTGGTTAACAGCCAAACAAACACCACTGCAGACCAGCCTTAAAACGTTTCCAGCCATACCCACAAGGGAGCACAATGCAGCCAAGTAACAGATCTCATGTGAGAGCAGAACAAAAGAAGAAACAAATAAATCGGTAACCAGTCTAGACAGGTTTGGCCATACCAGTGCAAGCCAATCAGCATCCATCTGATAAATACCGCCTTCCAGTCTTTCAAAGGGGTAAGGAGGTTGCCCTTCAGAGAGCAAGTCCAGAGCAGGTTACGTGAATTCAGCCTTGCACAAATAAAACATTTAAACTACTAGTGTTCTAAATGAACGTATGTTGGCAGTCTCGCTTCGTACTTAACAATTTACACAACGTTTAGCTACATTGTCTACGCACTTCCCTCGCCTGACACTGGGTATTCCAGCTTTTACTCATTGTGTGATCAAGTCACAAGAAGGACACGAGTGGCCCAGGCACCAAGCAAGCAGAGGGGAATCTCTTATTTCAAAGAAAGGCATTTGTACAGAACAGCACAAAATGACTCCTGCATGTAAAGCTAAGCGTGTAAGGGTTAAATGCTGTAAATAAGATGGTAGGTTTTGGGTTGCTTTTGTTTTGTTTCAATTTTTTAAACACATTACTTAATTTCGAAACACCAATACATACAAACATTGCACATATTTATTTAGATATTTATGAAAAATTCCCGTTTTCATTTTAAGCTTGAAAGTCTTACATACTTCAGCATGAGAGACACAAAGACACCATCAGGCACCTCTCTCCAATAGTACTTGGAGATTTCTCTCTCGTGACCAAACGTGTGCTACATGGCAAAACCAAAACGTGCCAGTGCAGCTAGGAATACATGAAAGACTCCACTCCCAGCCAATTAACAAGTTTTCCCTCTGCTTCCTTAACTTTGAATTATTACGCCTGCACAGAGAGGTTGCGGCTCTAAAGCAACAAAGGCGGGCGCAGCGCAGCGCAGCGCAGCCCCCACAGCGGCGCGTCCCTGTGAGCAGCCCCCGCGCCGCCAGCCAACCAGCGAGCAGCTGCCCGGGCCCTGCCTGGTAACAGCCAGCAGAGGAGGAGAAGGTCATGGAAACACCGGGGAGGGGGGGAAGGAGGAAGGGGGGCGGGGGAAATGACGCTGGAATCTGAACAATAGTGCACAATGGGGTTCGCGTAATATCACCAGTCTAGAACAGCATTGGTACAGGGCTTCTGGAGCACACGCAGTGCTGGCCAAAAGCACCACAACCATAAAACACTTGCCAAAGCACAAGAACCACATGGAGAAAGTAAAGCCTTTGATCATGAACATCAGTGCTCAAATATGCAAGTCTACGTAAAAGGTAGCATAGCCAAATCATGGAAAGCGAGGCAGCAATCGCTCAGGAGTATTTTGTTCTAGATGGACAGTCCCAGAGAATGAAAAGTGGTGAATAGAACCTACC